GGAGCCACAGGAGTCCCTCCTGGGCCCCGCCCACCCGGTTCCTCCGGCCCTCCCCACCCGACCCCCCACTGGACTCACGCTGCACATCAGGGTGCAGGATCATGAGCAGGAGGGCCCAGGCCAGCGTGGTCGAGGTGGTCACCATCCCCGCAGAGAATAGGTCAGCCACCACCAGGAGCAGGTTCTCTTCATTGAAGCTGCTCTCAGGGTTCCCCTTGGCCTAGCCAGGCAGAAAGGGGGGGCTCAGTGGGCAGAGGGAGGAAGCCCCTCAGGGATCTCCCCTTTCATACTCTGTGGTCCAGGTAATTGCTTGACCAGCCTTGTCTGGCCTCATTCCTCATAGGACCAGCCACTCATAGCCCTGGCTCCGTCCATGGCAGCCCCCCACCCCACCACCCCCCCGGCTCTCACCTTCTCCACTTCGGTCAGGAAGGCATCAGTGAGGTCTCGGGGAGGCTGGTCCGGATCCCGGGTCGTCCTGTGCTCATTGACCAGCTCTTCCATCATGGCCATGAAGGCCTTTTGACCAGAAAATACCTTCTTAGCCACCCCGGGGATGCGCAGGAGCACCGGGACCTCGTTCAGCACCTGCGCCGGCCACAGAAAGGGGCTGGAGTTACCCGGTGTGGTCTCAGGTACAGCTGCCTTTAGGGAGGACCACACACTGCCAGAAGGTCACACTGCAAGTTGCAGTCTCACTTCCTGGTATGGTTCTTGGTATGGGCTGGAGGCACAGGCTCTGTAGCTGTCCCCTGGGGCCAAGGCTGTGCCCACATCTGCCTCTGAGTTGTCTGAGCTGGCCCCACCCCCAGTCCTTTACTGGAACGCCCTCCTCCCAGCCAAAACCCCTGCATACAAAGCCTTGTCCGTCCTGGAGCTGGCCCCGCACAGCCTCCTGCAGGCCCTCTGCTCCGCACCTGGCGCAGGAATCCAGATTCCTCCTTCAGTCCTTCATCCAGCATCCTCATCAGTGCGAAGAAGCGCTCGTCATCGTACTCGAACCGGTGCCCAAAGGTGAGGAAGGCAATGACGTTGCTCACAGCTTTGCTCAGGAGAGAGTCGGGCCTAAAGGGGTGGCCTGGGAGCCAGGGTGCAGTCAGGGTCACTGCCTTCTGGTCTTCCACCTCCTCTATCCCACCCAGTGCCCTCAGCCATCACCCACCGGCTTGGTCAGCGAAGGCGGCACAGAGGTAGGCGGCCTCCTCCGTCACCCACTGCTCCAGAGACTTCTTGCCCAGGCCGAAGTTGCGCAAGGTGGACAGGGAGAAGCGCCTCTGCTCCTGCCACGCGGGCCCGTAGCGCGCCAGGATCACCCCTGGAATGAAGCGGGTAGGTAGATGTAGCAGGCATTCTGGGACGTGCCCTCTGCCCTACCCATGTGGTCCCAGGTACCCCAACCCTTTACTTCTCAGGAGGGGTCCTGGTCTCCCTCTGCCCTGCCCCAGCCACCTTTCCTCTTGCATCCAGCTGGGTGCAGGTGCGGCTGTTTTCTTCCCACCCATCTTCTCTCCCTTGCTTGGTGGAGTTAGTGTTCCCACCCTGGCTCTGCCCTGACCACCTTCCCACTCCACGATGATCCATGCCTGATCTCTGCATAGCTCGGTGCCGATTGGTGGCCAAGCACTTCCTTTCAGCTCGAAAAGACATAGGCCCTCGGCGAAGCCCCGCCTATAACGCTCCCGCCCGCTCTGTAGTAGAACCAGGCCTGTAAGCTCTTATATAATGCCACCGCCCCTCCCCGCCTCTGGCCACACCCACGGGACTCCTCAGCCCAGTGGGGTCCCGGTCTCTGCCGCTGCCCGCGCTTGCCTTGAGAGCGCGGCCCGAAGCCCAGGTGCTCGTAGATGGGCGAAGGTGGGCGGTCAGACGTGTCCTCCCCGCAGTTCACCAGCGCCTCTCGTATGGCGGCCTGCCCGTTGAGCACGACCACCGGCGTCCAGGCTAGCTGCAGGCTGAACACATCCCCAAAGCGGCGCCGCAACTGCAGGAGGAGCATCAAAGCGTTGTCAAACCTGGGTCCCAGACAGGCTGTGGGTCACAGTCTGAATACTTGGGGGACCCCAGGGCCGCTATGGTGAGCCGGTACAAGGACCAGATCTGGCCTTGGGATGGGGGGGAGCACATCACCCACTAAGGAGGAGGGACCCCCTGGAGTGGACCTCCCAGCTAGGACCTTGCAAGAGTCACAGTTGTCTAGAGGCCTCAGTCAGCTTGGAGTTTTACAGAAGAGAAAGTAGCACACAGAGCCCCAAATTCACGCAGCAGCAAAAGATTTGAACTGGTCACTGCACCTCTCTCAACTTCGATCTCCTACCTAAGTGGGGCTCATGAACCAGCAGGTTGTAGTGGTTAAGGCACTGGATCCTCCCACCGGGCCTATCATTGTTTGAGTTCTGGACCTAGTGACTTGAAAGTCACACTGGGCCTGTGGCTGTGTGGGTGCACCAAATTCCAAGAGCAAAGTGCAGAAGGGACTGCAACGTGGTCATCCCTCCTGGGGAATGATTTCTCACTTCTGTCTCTGTCTCCAGTGAGTGCTAGTACCCTATAGCAAACATGTCTTAAAAAAACATAAGAGACTCAGAACTCCAACACCTGGACCACTTACCCCTGACCCCATGTCCTTTCTTCTGCTGTAGTGAGAAGGGTCTTGGGACTTTCTAAATTGAGCACTGTCCACTGTGGACTGCAAACCGCCCCAGCTCCAGGCCTTTGCCTTTGGAAACCCACTGTCCTTCAGGCCCTGCTAAAAATGCCCTCCTCAGGAAGCCCCTTGCACCTTCCTCTGCTGGCCAGCTCCCTGTCTGGCCTGGGCTTTACTCACCACCGCCATCTGCCCCTAGGTTGCCCCAGGACCTCTGCTGTCCCTGACTGCCCCCCCTCACCTGGTGGAAGCATTTCGGTGTGTCCTGGAAGTCCAGCTGCAGCAGGTTACCCAGTCCGGGCAGGGGCGTGGGGCCTGGTGGGTAGCGTGCAGCCCAGCGTGAGCGCCGGTGCATCAGGTCGAGCAAGAGCAAGAAGACGGCCCCGGCCAGAGCCAGGGTCATCAGTGTGTCCCCGGTCAGCAGCCCCATGGCTCCTGGCTGCCTGGTGGGCTTTTCTGGGCACGCCTGGCACGTAGGATCTGGCAAGGCACTCTTAGCACACAGTGCAGCCCAGCCCGGCTGTTCCCTTACAAAGGCGCTGAGGCCTCCCCTGTCCTCAGCCAATCTGCTGCTGTCTGGGATTCTGCCAGAGGGTGCAGGGCCAGGGCCGGTCACATGCACAGGGTAGGTGTGGCCACAGAAGCCTTTGCCTTTCCTGTCCTTCGTGCTGACCAGGGCAGGGTAGTGGAGATCTGGGAAGAAAGCTCCATCCAAACAACCAGGCTGCTCACTAGCGTTGTGCTGGGAGAGGGGCAGTGCTGTGCAGGGCAGATGAACAGTGGGTGTCGCCCAAAAGACCACCTGACCAAGATGAGCAGGGAGGTCAGAGCCGGCATGACATGCCATCAGTGCCCTGAGGACACAAGGACACTGCCCCGGGCGGAATGGGCTTTCAAGGAAGACTTTGTAGACCAGGCTGGCAGAAGCTGAGAGAATGACTGACACTGCAGGCCCAGGCAACCCGGTGGTGGGTCCCAGGCACACGGGAATGCCTTGTGCAGGTGGAGCCCGGGCTTTGCAAATCTGGCTGGGGACCAGATGTGGGCACCTGGGTCCCTGGGCCTCCAGGAGGCAGGGAGACAGCGTGGAGGCCACTCACCTGACCAGAGGGCAAGACCCCCATGCACTCTGGGGACTTCTCATTTGTGGCCCCCCGTTGGCCTCAGCTGGATGCTCCTGTCCGGGTTGCAGAACGCTCTACCCAGGGCCCTGGCAGGATGCAGGTGTTGGTAGCAGGGCTGGCAGGATGGGCCAGGTGTTCATCCTGTGTGACCCTGAAAAGGGGCCTTTGCTCTGTGGTGTGTCAGGGTCTCCGCAGGCAGTCATCCCAGTGTGGGTGAAGGGTGGGACCCTCCAGATCCCAGGCCTGCAGTGTGGGTCAGGGCGGCCGTGAGGGATACCTGCATAAAGAGGCCTGGGCCTTTCCCATCCGCTCTGTAACCATGGTGCCCACGCTCTGGGCTCCAAGAACCAGGCACTGCTGGTCAGAATCCATATGCTTCACTCGTTAACCTCCTGTAGCCCTCCACGGCAGGCTTAATGTTCCCAGGCAAGGGACACTGAGTCTTAGGGTCACGTAGGGAGGCTGAGTCTTCATGCAGTGGCAGGCTCTGAGCTACCACTCTGTACTCTGGACATCATGTTCTCTGAAGGCCAGCACAGAGGTTTCTGGAATTATTATTTTAGAAAAACATAGGCACATACCTTTTCCTGGGTAAGAGGGAGACATCAGACATGAGTGACAATCTGTTATCTGGGCCCAGGGCTCCTGAGGACTGTCATGTCGTCCTGGCACTGAGGGCTGGCCTGGCTCAGCAGAGAATCCCTGAGTCACATTTTCCTCTGAGCTCCTAGGGAGTTTCTGTACTCTCCTCTGACACGTCCATTGTGATGCCATTCCAGTCTGTATTACTATGTAGCCCATTTAAAATTTTTTCCTACCTTAATCCGTTAAAGAAAAATGTAACTGTGTGTGTGTGTGCTGTCTGCATGTGTGCAAGGTCTCAGACTTGCTCTGTTCAGTTGGGCTGCCTTAACACTGGGTCAAAGTGCTGGCTTTTTTTTTTTTTT